TCAGAAGGGCCCAAGAGTCTGTATTTCACAAGCTACCTGAGTGAATCTGAGGTTCCCTAAAGCTTGAGAACTGCTAAGGCAGCTTGAATGAGACAGGCTTGTTGGAGTTACCTGGTGGCAGAAATAGGACAAGCAGAGCAGAAACAGGTGTCTAAGCCCTCACAGGCTGGGCTGGGTCAGTGGACTGACTGACTGATGGGGAGGGTGGAGAGTTTTTACATGAGGCAGGAAGAGCAGCAGTCTTTATCTGCAGTAGAACTAGTGCAGCTCTTCCCAGGCTGGAGCCGTGACAAGGCAGAACATGAAGGTTCCCCTGGAGAAGGCAGGAAGGGCATAGAAGACACAAGCCAGATTCAGTCAAGATGGGACGGGTGGCTCTCTGTGAGAAGTCAGAGGGTGTGGGGGGATTTGCCTCAATCAAAGAAGGGATCCAGAATATACATCATGATGGCTCAAAGGAAAGTCCACGATGGGATGGTGGGCTTGGGTGACAACAGAAGAGGGATGGGCTGAAGCGAATGGGTGAACCAGTGCAGCGTCACTTCTGCATTAGGTTAACTTTTCTAAACTTTGCTCCAACAAGATGTCTTTTTTCTCTAACATTCAAACAGCTCCATCCATCAAAACTCCTTCATGATTGTGTCCTCGTAATCGTCATCGTCATCATCCCCATCATCATCACCAATGGTTTCCTGCATGCCAGCCAAGCACCAGGCATCCAGCTTGAGCCATGCGAAGCTGAAATCAGGCTGTCCTTTGACAGCTTAGGCTGACAGGTGCAACACTGGGGCAGACACAAGAGCATTCACTCACCCCAGGAACCTGGAAAGGAGCTTACTCTTTATGATCCAATCTCTAAAACCACCACTTCACAGACCAAACCTGCATGGCTGCCATTCACCTTGCCTCTGGTTATTTACTTATTTATTTAGACAGGGTCTGCTATGTAGCCCAGATCCTCCTGCCTCAGCCTCCCAAGTGTGGGGATCACAGGTGCGTACCACCATGCTCAGCTGTGCCTCAGGTTAGTAATGGACCTCTCCTAAGAGAGTCACAAAGGTAAACCTTAGCCTGAGCAGTGTCCCCAAGCTCCCCCAGAGAGGAAGTCATGGCAAAGATCCCAAGGGTGTGTGCCTCAGACTTGGCTCTCCCGTGGCGTGCCCGATGTAGCTTGTTCTGACTTGTTCTCCTGCATGGGGTTTGGCTTCCACACAACTCTCTTTCAGGCACTAGCCCACTGGTCAGAACAAGAGGGTTCCAGTCTTCTGACAGTCACAATGCTCAGCAGCAATACATAGTCTCATTTTCCATTCTTTGCTTCAACCATTCCTTCATTCATTCAGCAAACATTTAACTGAATGCCTGTTCTGGGCCAGGCAGTACTTACACCAGTGACTTCTTCATAGGACTTGCATTCTGATAGGGGTGACAGAGAAGAATCACAGAATAATGTCCAATTGTGAAAAGTGCCTTGAAGGTGAAGGAAGTATTAAGAGTATTTAAGGAATAAGGTGGAGAGTGATGGGGTAGTCAGCAAAGGCCTCTCAGAGGAGATAACATTTTTAATTTGATGAATGTCTTACACATGGTGTAAGACACAAATCTTCAGGGTACAACTTGGTGAGCTTCTACATTTGCATATGCAGATCTGTCAGCCTGTGCACTGCAGACATTTAGGTTCAGATAATTCTTTGTTGTGGGAACCTGTCTTGGCATTGTACTTTTAGCTGCCTTCCTGGTTTCTGCCTACTAGATGCCCTGGCATCCTCTCCACCCACGTGTAATTGAAAGCCCCAGTTATGTGCCATGTAACCACAACTTGGATCGAGATATGGGTTATGTCTCATCTGTTGGCATTTGAGCTGGTTAAAGAACCAGAGGCGCTGGGGATGTAGCTTAGTAGTCGAGCATTTGCCTAGCATGCATGAGGCCCTGGGTTCAATCTCTGGTACAAAAACTAGAGGAGCAGGGTTCCAAGAGGAGGGACCCTCCTTTGCTCATGCAACAAAGGCCCTGAGGTAGGAAAAACTGTGGCACATTTGAGGAACCACATGTCTGACACATGGTGACAAGGGAAGAATGGCAGCTTTTAAGGAAGTCGAGGAGACAGCCTGGTCTTATCAAGCAGAAGCCTCGTGGGCTATGGATAGGAGTCTGACATTTCAAAGAACATTTGTGAGTAGTTAATATGTATCTGGCATGATGCCAGACACTACAGTGCTAGACATAAATGCATTATAGTTCCTGCTCTAAATAAAGACAATAAAGCCTTCGAGACTTTGGGCTCTGAGATAAACGTGTAAGTGAAAAGACATGCCACAGGTATTACATTGAAGGACAGCGTATGTACCAGACCCAGAGCTGGCATAGGGAGGCCATGCTTAAGCCCATGCTAGGGGTGGAGGGTTCAAGAAAATATTTCTTGAGGAGAGCACAGGAGGTCTGAGTCTTTGGGGAACAAAGAATGAATGACACTCCAAGCAAAAAGCACAGCCTGTGCAAAGACATGGTTATGTGAAACAGCACGGAAGGTTCCAGAGATTGTAAGTATTACAGGGTAGAAAGTGCAGGAAAGGGATAAATAATGAGGCATCAATCTGCCTGGGACAGAAGATCCTTATGGGAGAGGAGGTGAAACTAACACAGATTTGGAGCAAACATGGGAAGTCTTCCAGAACAGTCTTCTCCCAAAACACCCACCCTCACTCCTTATCTCTCCCCAGCCCTGCCTTGATGCCATGTATTCCATAGAATGCATCTGGGATTTATTGTCTGTAATCTTGTCAATGTGTGCATGTGCGTTGAGATTTAGGATTCAGTTGTCTGTGTTCTTTGCAGGCTCACACCTGAGCCTGCATTTCCTGTTTTAGATGACAAGGGCTGGGTTTTAATTTCTCCATATAATGCCTGCCTGGCACAGCCTTACCTGCAGCAAGGTGTGCTCACAATGCTCCACAAGTCCTCACTTTGTATGTAGGGATTCAGACAGAGACACAAGCTCCCCTGTGCTGGACAAGCCTATGAATTCGCTTATAGGTCTCCTCTCACCAGGCCTCTTCTGCAGCACCAGCCCTTCCTGTGCTGGGCACTGAGAAGCTGACTGCAGGCAAGGGGCAAGGAGGGAGCAGGCCATGTGCTCTGTCCCTAAAATGTATCCCCAGAAAAGAAACAAATTGGGCTTTCTGGATTAAATTCCGAATTAGGTGAATTACAATTCAGTTTGGGGACAATGTAACCCATCCCTTGGCTTTTTATTGGAGGGGGAGTGGGCAGAGGAGGGTGAAGCCTCCAGTCACTGTATACAATGACCCTGCAGATGTGTACTCTGCACACCAGGGACTCAGCCTTTAGATCCAAGTATCTAATCCCATGCTACAGAGGGAAAGAGAAAATGTAAGGCAGGGTTCTGGTTATCTGGTCTCTGACTGGAGCACAGGAAGCTGGGAAGAAAACAAGAGGGTTGCCTCAACTGCTTTCCTCCCCCATCTCCCAGCAGGAGCCATGGTGAGCTTGACTGCAGCATTTCCTTCCCTTCCTGTACTGGGCCAAGGCAAGACCAGATCTAAAGGAGTTCAGCCCTTGTTCCTGTGTGCCTAAATACGTAGGTTTCGCCATACCCTCATGTCTACTTCTATCCTCTGACCTGAACTTCTAGAACCAATCAGGAAGGCAGCAGTAAGGGCTGGGTGGAGAGTGATGTGGAAATCGCACTGGGTATGGGAGTGAGGATGCTTAACTGGGCTCTGCCACCCATCTCTGCATAACCTTGGTCAAATCACTCCTCCTGAGTCCATGAACCTCTGTGGCCCCTTCTTCTTCTTCTTCTTCTTCTTCTTCTTTTCTTCTTCTTCTTCTTCTTCTTCTTCTTCTTCTTCTTCTTCTTCTTCTTCTTCTTTCTTCTTCTTCTTCCTTTGTAAACAAAATGCATACCATATTTATTGTTTTCAATCTATATTCTTGTTTCTTTTGTGGGGGCAGTACTGGAGTTTGAACTCAGGGCCTCACACTTGCTAGACAGGCACTCTACTGCAGCCCCTTCTTATCCTTTAGGGCATGGGTTAAATGTCACCTGTCCAGAAAGGCCCTCCTCCATCTAAGCAGGTCCTCTCTGTGCACCATGTCATTGCCCCCTTTGCTTCCTTTATAGCACCACAATTTGTCTTCACACATAAATGTATGTGTGTATGTGTGTGTATATATATACATATATATTCATATAGTTAGGTTTGTTTATTTTCTTGGTTTGTCTCCCCACTACATTCGTGAGGCCTTAATTCAAACCCCATTATAGCCAAAAATAAATAAATAAGCAATTTAGTGAATGAATGAATGACAGCTGATCCAGATGAATTCCCAGCTTCCTTCCAGCAGAAAGTCTGCTTCTAAGGTTTCCCGCCTCGAGGATCACTCCAGGGTCTCTCCCGAAGTGCCCTACACGGGACGGAGGAGGTGCGAGCTACACAGTCTTGCGTCCTTTCCACGGATTCAGGGACTGTGGACCAGAATCAGCGCAGGTCCAAAGCCCGCTCCGGCCCCGCCTCCGACGAAGGTGGGGGTGGTGGTGCCAGGTCGCCTACCAGCCAGGGGGCATTCGGTGCGAGCGTCCGGCAGGGACTGGCGAGGGGGCGGGTCCCAACGCGGCCTATGGACGAGGCGGGGCCAGACCGCGCCCCCCAGCGCGCCGCGCACGGGAGGGCGGCCGTTGCTAGCAATGCCTACCCCGCCAGCCGCGGCCCCCAGCATGGCTTGGAGGGTTGGCGGCGCCTTGGCTGTGGGTCTCCGGTTGCGGGCTGCTACTCGTCGCTTCGTCCTGCTGTGGTGCCAGGTCGCCTACCAGCCAGGGGGCATTCGGTGCGAGCGTCCGGCAGGGACTGGCGAGGGGGCGGGTCCCAACGCGGCCTATGGACGAGGCGGGGCCAGAACGCCCCGCGCCCCCCAGCGCGCCCGCGCACGGAGGGCGGCCGTTGCCTAGCAATGCCTAGCCCCGCCCGGCCCCCAGCATGGCTTGGCAGGGTTGGCCGGCGCCTTGGCTGTGGGTCTCCGGTTGCGGGCTGCTACTCGTCGCCTTCGTCCTGCTCGTGAGTCCCCGCTGTTGCCGTGCGCGGCGGGGCCTCCGCGGCCTGCTCATGACGCGCAGCCAGCGGCTGCTTTTCCGAATCGGGTTAGTGCCCAGACTCCAGCCTATGTGGGCTCGGGAAGGCGCGCGCTGGGAAAGGTGACGGGGAGGCGGGGACTGGAGGTTCTAGGGGCCAGAGCGGAGGGATCGAAAGACCGACTGGGGAAGACACTGAATTTGTGGGGATTGAGGAAGGCAAGGAGTTGGAGGGCTGGAGAATTGGGATGGGCTGGGGAAGGAGGAATAGGGGATGGAGGTCAGAGCAGACAGGGAAGGGGTGTGAGAGGACCGCTGGAGAAAAGCGCCAGATAAGGGACTGGAGCCCAGAGGGGTGGGAAACGGTGATAGTGCGGGAGCCCTGACCGGGAAGACCGTGCCTAGCAGTCAGCAGATCCTGGCAGGTGCAAGACCATCTAACCGACATTGAAACCTCCTCTCCTTCCAAGCGTTCCTGTCCCTCTGCCTAACTTCCCTCAGAGCCAGCACTCTAGGTAGGTTCTAGGTTCTTGTCCAAAGCAGAAGTTCCAATCCTGTAGGTTCCTTTCTTTCTACCCACCACCTTGGCATGCAGAGCCCCAGGATATGAAATCTGACCCTACCCCCAGCTGAGTCGTTGAGGTTCACTGACCACCAATGACTTTTCTCTAGCAGACCTTCCCCTCCCTCTGCTTCCTCCTTCCAGAAGCCCAGGCAAGAGTAGTAGCCAGTACTGTTCTGCCACAGAGATAGGGAGAGGCAGGGAAGGAGTCAGAAGATGAGCTTCTGAGGGTCCTGTCCCCTTTCTACTTCCAGCGGAGTTATGGGCCAGGACTTCAGGCCCCAGTGTAGGGACAATGATGTTGGCAATGAGAATTGTGGAAGCCCTGGCCATAGGCCAGGTTACCGGGATGACCAGGCCTGGGAATTTCCTGAACTTCAGAGAAAACATTGTGCAATTCACCCCCCTCTTCCCTCTCCAGACCACCCCAGATACTCCCCGAAGTTTCAGGCCTAGGATTCCACTCACACTCTGTCTACAAAATAAATATATAAAGGCCCAGTGGGCCAAAAAATTAATTCTAGTTGATGCTCCAAGTAAGGCCATTGCTTTGCAAAAAGCATTAAAATAATGAGATTTATTAATATCTTCATGTTTTAGATTTTTTTTCTGGCACTGAGAATTGCACCAGAAAGACCTCATGCATGCTACGCGTTCATGATCAGCCCCTAGATTGGGGATTTTTTTTTTTTTTAATTTCTTCTCACAAAATGTCTGAGAACTTTACAGCTCTATTTGAGGAAGGGGATTTTTAATCTACTTCTAGTCTTAGGAAGTTTGAAGTCATGTGGATGGCCTGAGGAAGTGGAAAATAGGAGTTACCATGAGGGCTCGGGTATTCCTGGAACTTGGAATTTGGAAGTCTCCAAATCACCAAACCCAAGATTCTCAAGAGCTTCTTCAGAAGTTAGTATTTCTTGCAAGCGTGAGGCCCTGAGTTCAAACCCCAGAGCCACAAATAAATAATAAATAAATATGGGCTTTCCTTTGTCTGAATTTCAAGGTTGCCTTGGAATGAACTTCCCAAATTTGCCTAGCAGAAGGGTGTGCCTGGAACCAGAATTCCAGACCCTGCCCTGCAGTGGTCTGGGAAACAATCAGTTCAGTCCCTTGGGGGAGGGGCTGCGGGTCACTGGCCGGGAGAGGGGATACCAGCAGGAAACGGGTGGGGTGTATGCAGGTGTTGATTCTGTGGGGCGCCTCCAGGCCTGCAGGAAGGATGGACAGGGTGGGGAGCACATGGACACCTCCACCCTAAAGGTGTGGCTGGGAGGACCATAAATGGAGGATTTCTGTTGGGGGCTGCAAAGCAGGTAATAGAAACCCTCAGCAGTGGCTAGGAGAGGAGCAGTTTATGTTACCATTACTAGTGATGATCATCTTACAAAGGCTTTCCTCAAACACAACCACTGTTATTTTGGATGGGAATAACTGGGCTCAAGGGAGCGTGGAACCAGGCTAGGCTAAGGTTAGATACATGTGTTTGGAGCTCTGAGGGGACCTCGGAGACGGTGTGTGCAGTGGCTAAGTGCATAGTATGGGGATCACTGGACAAATCAGCTTTTGAATCCTGGCTTTGTTGCATTATGGACACATAACTTTCTGTACCCTCATTGTCCGCACCTGTAAAATGGGGCTGGTGATAATGCCTGCCCACAGGGTCCTGTAAGGATAAAACAAAGCTACATGTGTAAATGCACAGGACCTGGCTCACAGTAAGTGCTTAGGTCATGTTGACAATTGCTCATACTGTGGCCTGGCATGGCAGGGAGGAAGGAAGGGGACAGGGCATGGCAAACTCCTGGAGCTTCCTTACACACTGCCACAACTGGCTGGGAATGTGGTGATGAGCTGAGGTAGCCAGCAGCCAGCCAGCCTTTGGGGATGGAGAATCCTAGATGACCAAGGCCCCATGTGTTCCTATGCCGGGGGGAATCTTTCTGACATCCTGCACCCCAACTGAGTAACCAACTGTCCCTGGGATGGGCTTCATTTGCACCACTTCTGCAAAAGGAAACCCCTTATCTGGAGCCAGTGGGCACCCTGGTTCAATGTCATGAGGCAGAAATCCTGATGTGAAGGGATCCCTGAGTGAAGGACCCCTTGCTCGTGGCCTGACTGGAAGGGCCAAGTGCAAGCAGACCTGGACTATCTATGACATAGACTGGCAAGGAGGGAAGCAGGGTCTTTTCCTTTCTCCCAGGCCTTTGGGTCCTTGGAGCACTGCATCCTAAGGACTCACAATAACCTCTCAGCCTCCCTCCTCTCCCCACTACCCTGTCTTCCCCTCTGAAGCCTGGTTGGTATCCAAAGCCTGGCTCTGGCCAGGTGTCTGGCCTATAAGAACAGAGCCTGCACCCTCATCCAGGCTTTTGCGGATCTTATTACCGCCACCCCTGCCTGCCCAATTATCTCCCAAGGCCCTCGACTCTGTACTATTATCAGACGTGTCAGCCCTTCCTTCCTGTGTGTCTACGGGTCAAATTCTATTGCATCTTCTAAGCTCACCTTCAAAATATATCACTTCTTCCCATCCTACTGCAGCTGTACTGGACCAGCCAGGTCTTCTCTTGCCCAGCCTCCAACACTGACTGCTTCCTTCTACTTTCATGCCCCTAAGTATCCTCAATGTGCAACCAGAATGAAACTGGTCAGATTTAAGTGAATGAGTGAATGGCTCTTTTCAGATGTGCCATCATCCATAAAGCCAACCCAGCTTCCTCAGTTCAATTTCATCTCTGCCTCCACTGGTCCTAGCCACCATCTTTCCTCTTAGGACTCTCAGTGTATGTGTCTTCTTGCCTGTTCTGGGGTCATAAGTCATAAGTCTGGCTCCGCTGCTAGACTCCCACAGGACTGCCCAGGGATCAGGGTTGAATCAAGAGGGTGGGAGATCAGGATGGGGGAGCGAAGGGGAAAGCCAAAAGAAACAAACAAATCTCAGAGGCTTTGGCTGGGTAGGTAGCTTAGGAGCGCAGGCAAGGAGTCAACTTGCCCAAACCTGCAGGCTTGAATGAGGCTCAGAGCCACCAACTCTTTCTATGTTTCCTGTCCCTGTTGAGAGCCCAGAGACCACTCCTCCTCCCTCTGTGAAAGATGGGTGTCTTTTGTAGAGGGCTGCAAAGACTGAGGAAGAGCTGTCCTGGAGAGGCTAGAAATGGAGGCCTATGTTCTGATCTTGTGCTCACTGGCCTCTTGTGGGCATAGGGAAGTGACCCCTAGGCATGCTAGCAGCTGCAGGAAACCCTCACCCCCTAGGGCCTGTTTAGCTGTCTCATCTTGTTTCCTCAGTGCCACAGGAGCTAAGGGGCCCTCTGTTGCGAAGGGGCCTTAAAGAGACTCTACTTCAGTAGAACTGTTTGTACTGGTGGCACTCCCCGCCCCTCAGCCCTCAGATATCCATTCCAAGTTTGGTGTCATTAAGAATGTCCTGTCAGTCAGGCATGGTGGTGCAGTCCTGTAATCCCAGTACTCAGGAGTCTGAGGCAGGAGAATCACAAGTTTGATGTCAGTTTGGGCTACATAGCAAGTTCCAGTCTCAAAAAAAAAGTGCCTTGTTACTGGTCAGATGCAAAGCCTGCAAGCTGGGTCCTGGCCAGAAGCACCCCCTGATCAGAGGCCTCATCAACCTGATCTCATTTGTTGGGGTACAGTAGTGCCCCACTGGGGTTAGGACACGTTTAGGGAGGAGGTGAGGGAGGTAACTCGGAAATAGGGCTTTCCAGGCGTTCTGTTGGATGCAGATCTCCCTTAAGCCCCCTTTCTGCTCTCCCCTCACCCAGTTGGCCTGAGGTGGGCCCTGGGCCCAGAGGGGCTGGAATCCCTCCAGCCTCTCTCAGGGCTGCCCAGATGGTAACACTGGCCAAGAGAGGAGGGGAAGGGGAAGAAGAGCTCCATTGTGTGTTTTTCTACTGTGGGCCAGAGGAGGGGGGCCGGGGGGGGGACTCTCTCTGTCCCCAGCTGTCCCATATGCCTCCAGTGGGGCTGGAGGTTTAAATACCAGAGAAGCCACACTTGGCTTAGGCTCAGTGAGGCCAGGAGTAGGAGGCACCCTGTGGCCCTGTGGGGGAGGGGGGATTGCAGGCACTCTGCCCACTGTCCTAACCTCACAGGGAGGGTCCCCAGGGCCCACTGTAGCTGTCAACTCAGGCTGCAGCTCCCACACCAGCCCTATCCTGCAGGGTGGTTTTTTTTCTGTCTCCCACGTGGGTCCCAGAGGACCAATTAGGAAACTTGATTTCCTTTTTGGTGAGCAATGGTGGGTAGTTCCAAGCCCCAGAACTGCTGAATAGAATCCAGGGCAGGGGTGCAGTTTAGTGGTGAAGACTTACCCAGCATGCTTTGGGCCAGGGGTTCCATTCCCTGCACTGCAGAGTCCCAGAAGCGGGAGGGAGAGAAGGTCAGAGTCTTCTTGTTTATGGACCCCTGAATGGATCGTTCTGATGCAGGTGGGCAAGGCTCACCTTTGAGAAGCACCTGTTGACTATGCCTCGGGACCCCATGGCAG